GTTATCATTATTAATACAATTATTATTGTTATTATTCGCGTTTATTCTCGTTTTCGATATAAAATTAACTTATAATTAATTATTGATTATTATTGATAATTAGTTCAATTATTTAATTCAATTAATCGATATTATTATTTATCTTCCTTCCACTGTTTCCTTTTTTATCGTTCATTTCCATAATTATTCGCCTTTTTCCCTTATTCCTTCATTTATTCAATTTTCTTCATTTCTCTCCACATTTATTCCTATTTTCTCTATGTCTCTATTTATCACATTCCTCCTTTTCCATCTTCGTTCTTTTATTTCTTTCTACAGATTCGCATCCTTACTACGAAGGCAGGAAGTAGGAGAAAATCCGATTACTCTTTACACCCTCTTCGTAAACAACAAAATATAAGGTAAGGAGATTTTTTTTTTTTTTTTTTTATCTCTCTTATTCCTCTTTCTTCTCTTCTCCTTCTATTTCTTTCTTATTTTTTCCTCTTTCTTATTTTTTTCCCTCTTTCTTCTTCTTCTTCTTTCTTCTTTTTCTTCTTCTTCTTCTTCTTTTTTCTCTTCTCCTTCTTCTCCTTTTTCTTCTTCTTCTTGTTCTTCCTCTTCTTTTTCTCCTTCTTCTTCCTCTTCTTCTTCTTCTTCTTCCTTTTCTCCTTCTTCCTCTTCTTCTTCTTCTTCTTCTTCTTCTTCTTCTTCTTCTTTTTTTTCTTCTTCTTCTCCTTCTCCTTCTTCTGTCAATGTATTTATCCTCTCTCTCTCTCTCATGTCTCTCCTCTCCCCCTCCCCCTCCCTCCTTCCCCCCTCCCTCTATCTCTTCCCCCTCCCCCCCCTCCCTCAATCTCTCTCTTCCCTCCCTCCCTTTTCCCCTTCCCCCCTCCCCCCTTTCCCTCTCCCCCCTCCCCTCCCTCCTCTCTTCCCTCTTCCCCCTCCCCCTCCCCCCTACCTCTCTCTACCCTCTTCCCCCCTCCTCTCTCTCTCCCTCTCTCTATCCTCTCCTCTCCCCCCCCTCTTCTCTCTCTCTACCCTCCCCCCCTTCCCCTCCCCTCCCTCTCCTCCCCCCTCTCCCCCTCCCTCCCCCTTTCCCTCCCTCTCTCTACCCTCTCCCCCTCCCTCCCTCCTCCCCCCCTCCCTCTCCCCTCCATCCCTATCTCCACCCTCCCCTCTCCCCCCCCTCTCCCCCCTCCCTCTCTCTCTTCCTGAATACATCAATGCAAGCATCAACATACATTCAGTTGTTGCACTTTGTTGCACGATGTTGCACGATGTTGAAAAGGTCGGCAGACGCCTTGTCAAAAGGGCAAGAGTTGAGGAGAAAATTGAAAGGCGGAGCATTGCAACATTGCAGACATTGCAGACCATTCTTGTTGTTGCAATTCTTGTCTAAGATGATGTTGATATTGTTGTTGCAATTTTTTGCATTTTTTTTTATTGTAAAATCTTTTGTTGCAAAGAAATATTTCTTGCTGTTATTGTTATCATTGTTATTATTGTTTTTATATTTTTTTCTTGTAAAAACTAGTTGAAAAATTCTGCTTTTTAAAATTGTTTTATATCAATTTATATTAATATTAATATAAATATATATATATATATATATATATATATATATATATATATATATATATATATATTAATATGATTTATATATATGTATATATATTTTTTTTTTCTTTTTGTCATGTTTTATTAATTCTTTGTGTTTTATTTATTTTTTTATGTGTTTCATATTTCTGTTCGTTTTTTTCCCGTTTTTTTTAGTGTTTTTTACGAGTCAGTTTTATTTCGCTATTTAGATCAATTTTTTTTTTTTTTTTTTATGGTGATACGGATACTAATATATATTGATAATAATATGATACTAATATTTTTGAGAGAGAGAAAGAGAGAGAGAGAGACAGAGACAGAGAGAGAATGAAAAAGAGAAGGAGAAAGAGAGAGAGAAAGAGAGAATGAGGATGAGAGAAAGAGAAAGAGAATGAGAGAGAGAGAGAGAGAAAGAGAAGGAGAGAGAGAGAGAGAGAGAAAGAAAAAGAAAGAGATAGAGAGAGAATAAAAGAGATTGAGAGAGAGAGAAAGAGAATGAAAGAGAGAGAGAGAAACTTTAAGATAGGAGTCACTAAAAGTGAATTCCTTTAGTCTGTAAAAAATAATTGTTTTGACTGCAACATGCTCTAATCAAATATTATGTAATTGTTTTTCAATAAAATGGAAAGAGAAAAGAGAGAGAGAGATAGAGAGAGATAGAGAGATAGAGAGAGAGAGAGAGAGAGAGAGAGAGAGAGAGAGAGGAGAAGGGGAGGAGGGAGAGAAAGAAAAAGAGAGAGAGAAAAAAAGAAAGAGAGAGAAAAAAAAGAAAGCGAGAGAGAAAAAAAGAATGAGAGAGAGAAAGAGAGGGAGAGAAACAGAACGAGAGAGAGAAAAAAAGAAAGAGAGAGAGAGAAAAAAGAATGAGAGAGAGAGAGAATGAGAGTGAAATATATATATATATATATATATATATATATATATATATATAGAGAGAGAGAGAGAGAGAGAGAGAGAGAGAGAGAGAGAGAGAGAGAGAGAGAGAGTAGGGGAAATTTCTCCATTCACTGTTGATACTTATAATACAATTCTACTTTCTTATAATCTTTTAATACCAACATTACTGTTTTTAATTACAATCCAATCTCACAATCTGACCTCATTATAACGATAACAATTATTATTATTATTATTATTATTATTGTTGTTGTTGTTTTTATCATTATAATTATTATTATTATTATTATTATTATTATTATTGTTATTATTATTACTATTATCACTATTATTACAATTACTATTACTAGTAGTAGTAGTAGTAGTAATAGTATTATCATTATTACTATTACTATTATTATTACTATTACTATTGTCATTATTGCTATTACTGTTATTATTATCATCACCATCATCATTATTATTATCATTATTATTATTAAGATTATCATTATTATTATCATTATTATTATTATTATTATTATTATTACTATTTCCGAGGCTCGAGAAATGTGAAAAAAAACTCTACGGGAAACACTCCGCGTTTCACTATCAACCGCCAATAGTATTATGAATGGCTTTAAAAATCTTTTGAAATTACTAATGAATGCAAGAATGTTATTGATTTTAGGATATGCAAATGACTTTAATGATGTTAACTCTATAATGATAATAATAATAATAGTTATAGTTATACTTATAATGATAATATTGTTGATAATATCATTGTTATTGTCATTAATCAATATTATTATTATTATTATCATTATTATCGTTTAATCAATATCATTCTGATTAATATTATTATTATTACTTTTATTCTTATTATTGTTATTATCATTATTATCATTATCATTACTATTATTATTGTTACCATTATTCTTATTATTGTTATTATTATCATCATCGTCATTAGAAGAGAGAGAGAGAGAGAGAGAGAGAGAGAGAGAGAGAGAGAGAGAGAGAGAGAGAGAGAGAGAGAGAGAGAAAGAGAGAAAAAGAAAGAGAGAGAGAGAGAGAAAGAGAGAAAAAGAGAGAGAAAGAGAGAGAGAGAGGAAGAGAGATAAAGATAAAGAGAGAGAGAGAGAGAGAGAGAGAAAGAAAGAGAGAGTAGAAAGAAAAAAAGAGAGAAATAGAAGCAGCGATAACGAGAAAGAGAAAGTGAAAGAAAGAGAGAGAGAGAGAGAGACGATAGATAAATGGAGAGACAGAGGAATAGACAGATATATATATACCTTTATAGATAGATAGATAAATAGATAGATGGTGAGAGAAAGGAATAAGAAGAGAGCGAAAGAGCGAGGACCAGGGAGATAGAGAGAAAGAGAAGGAATGAAAGTGAGAGAGAGAGAGAGAGAAGGAAAGAAAAAGAGAGAGAAAAAGAGAGAGACAAGGAGAAGGAACGAAAGTGAGAAAGTAAGAGAAAGAGAGAGAGAGAGAGAGAAGGAGAAAAGGAAAGAGAGAAAGAATAGAGAATGAAAGAAGAAGGAGAGAGAGAGAGAGAGTGAGAGAAAGAGAGAGAGAGAGAATAAAAGAAAGAGGAGGAATAAAAGAGAGAGAAAGAGATAAAGAAAGAAGGAAAGAGAGAGAGAAAGAGAGAAAGAAAGAAGAAAAAGAGAGAGAAAAAGAAAGAAGAAAAAGAGAGAAAAAAAGATAAAGAAGGAAAGAGAGAGAGAAAAACAAGAAAGAACGCAAAAGGAGAAAAAGAAAGAGAGAGAGAGAGAGAGAGAAAAAAAAACAACGAAAGAAGAAACAAAGGGAAATGAACGGGTTTATTTTAGAATATCTCCTGACACCGAGCATGAGATGCCGGTTAGTGAATTTCGCACATATTGAACGCCTCTTGAGTTGCCAGTTATGCATTTGTCTTTCTGTCTTTTGTTCGCCAGAAGAGAGAAAAAAAAAACAAAAAACAAAAAAAAAAAACTTTCAAATGAACAGTTATGGTAAAGAACATTTCTGAGTGACAATTTTTTCTCTCTTTTTTAATCTGTCTGTCTGTCTGTCTGTCTGTCTGTCTGTCTGTCTTTTTTTATCTATATTTCTATTTCTATATCTATTTATCTATGTTATATATATTATATATATATATTTTATATTATATATCTGTTTGTTTGTCTGTCTCTCTCTATCTATCTCTCTATCTATTGGTCTATCTATCTATTTGTTTATCTGTCTCTTTATATGCTTCTCTCTTTCTCTTTCTTCTTTCTTCTTTCTCTCTCTCTCTCTCTCTTCTCTCTTCTCTCTATCTCCTTCTCTATCTCTCTTTCTCTCTCTCTCTCTTCCTCTTCCTCTCTCTCTCTCTCACTCTCTCACTCTCTCTCTCTCTCTCTTCCTCTTCCTCTCTCTCTCTCTCTTCCTCTCCTCTCTCTCTTTATCCCTTTTTTCTCTCTTTTATCGCACTTTCTCCCATCTCCCATTCCGAACGAAGGAGACAGGAAGGAGACAGAAGACATTCCTGTGTTGGTTTGAATATTTAATCATTCCGTAAATCATGAATTGGCAACCCCACCGCGTTCCTCTCTCTCTCTCTCTCTCTCTCTCTCTCTCTCTCTCTCTCTCTCTCTCTCTCTTTCTCTCTCTCTCTCTCTCTCTCTCTCTCTCTCTCTCTCTCTCTCTCTCTCTCTTTATCTATTCATTTATCTGTTATCTGTTTCTCTGTTTATCATTTTTATGTGACATCTCTCTCTGTTTGTTTTGCGTTATCTCTCTATCTCTTTCGTTCTTTATCTCTCTCTTTCTTTCTCTCCTATCCTCTCCTCCCTCCCTCTCTCCTCTCTCTCTCTCTCTCTCTCTCTCTCTCTCTCTCTCTTTCTCTCTCTCTCTTTCTCTCTCTACCTATATATCTATTTATCTACCTATCGATCTATCTGTCTATCTA